AAAAAAAAAGAGAAAAAAAAAAATAAAATAAAATAAAAAGAAAAAGAGAGAAGAGAGAGAGAGAGAGAGAGAGAGAGAGAGAGAGAGAGAGAGAGAGAGAGATCATCACATGACTTGATTAACACGAGACTTTCTTTGACGATAATTGTAGACATAGTGTTAAGAAGAGAGTGCAAGCCAAGTAATGGCCAGACCACAGACAGCTCCTACCTTTCTCTGGGGAATTTTGGTGCAGTTCTTTTTGGCATGAGAACAGTTTTGCGGAATTCTTTTTCTGATATGTCGGCAAAGTGATTATCAATAAACTTAGTTCTTCCTCTGGGAAAAAATAGAAAAAAAAAGATGAAAATAAATTCACTGTTATTTTGAAGATGATATGATTTGCTTTCAGTTACTTTACATTTTCTTTAATAGTACATGAAGTAACGAGATTATTAATTCCTAAAAAAAAAAAAAAAAAAAAAAAAAATTCCAAGTACCTGTCTTAAACAAATTGTTAACTTATTTCATTTGAACATAATTAGTTAAAAATAATTGAATACCTGAATATCAAACAACTAGACATAATTTTTTAAAAATCCAACAAAAATGACCTACTTGTACTCTTCATTTAACTGTAAAATCTTCCCGAGATTTTCCAGATATATCTTAAATCTGGACTCCTCTTCCACATTAGACAAGTACGACTTTCCATGTTTTGCTTTCCACTCACTGAAAAATGATAATTAACATCATAAAAATATTAAAGAATTTTTTCACCATGGGATCTTGTGTAAGACATATTTGTTGGACAAAAATTCCGCCTTTGTTCCATTTTGCTGTGCTTGTTATTTTACTATGCTGTTCTATCTGTAATCACTTTGCAAACTTTAAATTTAAAAATTTACGTTGATTAATTACATCTTCAAGCTCAACTTTAAAAAATTTCACTCGCAAACTGACCAGGAACAGGACTACATTTGTACCCCTGGTTAGTAAATCATTTACTTACTTGAACCGCTGTCTACCTGTGACCCTATCAATTTTGTACTGGGAGCTGAAATAACGGAAGATTTCATAAGATTACATATATATATATATTTATATATATATATATATATATTTAGTTAACTCTTCCATCCCCTCCATTTCTTGTTGCCATGTTTAATCTTTAAAACAATTTCACCATCCCTGTACCTCTCAGAATTAAGGAAAGCAAACCACACGAAACAACATAGAAATTTACTTCAACTCCATCATAAAAAAATTTAGGCCCAATTAACTCCATCACAAAAATTTAGATCAACTCCGTCAGAGAACTTTAATCAAATCCACTGTGAAAATTTCTCATATAATTTCAAGAAAATAAAGAGATTATACCTGGAGCTCACAGCTAATACAGCTGTCAGACCGAGTGCAAGCAGCACCTTCTCCATGTCTTCAGCTAGAGAGCATGCACCTGTAAAGATGTACATATATGACAATGTACAAAGTGTGTTGACCTATAACGACCTTAGAACTGGTTCAGGTGTTTGATCAGCAGCCAACATAAATGGATATAATTAACAATAGGTCAAATCTGGTCTGCTTGTAACAGTCTAATTTGATTCAAAATTTTAAGCATCTAATGCATCATAATTATATCTGCTTTTCATTTGCAGCATTGCCTAAACAAGTGTACCATGTACATAATACAAGGTCCTAATTTTTTTTTTTTTTTTTTTTTTTGGGGGGGGGGCAAAGAACTGATGTGATCTTGGTGCATACATGTACACAGTTGTGACATGTTTGTCAGTGTAAACATGACAAATCATAACAGCTTATTTGTACTTGCTACATACATACCCTGTCACATGATGGAAGAACAGATATGAACTTTGGACAATGTTATTCTAATCTATACAACTAAATTGGTGATGTATTATTTATTAATGACTGAGGCACCTGAAAATGGCTGCTTGCCCTTTAGGACCAGTGATTAAGTGACTTTTAAAGTCACTTTATCAAAACTGTCAAAACTGTTGAACTTGCATTCTAGGCTGACCATTGCTTTTAGCCAGCACTGTACCAATGCTATCAGTTCTATTGCATACACTTTGAAAATACATTGTATCAATTTATATTACCCATATTGCAAGCATCTGTGGCCCATAATTCTGTTACTTTGAACAGTTCACTTGAATATTACTCTGGTTGGGAAATTCTGGGGAGCATCAAAATTTAAACAGTGTTCATGTTACTTGTCATGTAACAAATTTCATGTACCTAAGGCACTATTTAGCGGGTGAAAATGAAATGGGGCAACTTTTGACTCATTTCTGAAATTGGTAACGGAAAAAGATAACAGACACAGCAGACTGGGTGAAAACTTCTGTGGGTCCTCCCAGGAATATGTAGTTTTATTTCTCACGTCTGGACATGGTGTCATTAAAACTTGAATAACTTTTATAACAATAACATGTTACATACTGAAGGCCTACATGTTCCATATGCCTACATGAACACCAGTTTAAGTCTCAGACTCTGTTACCACCCGAATTTCGCAAAATATTACTAAAAATGCAAGTTTTATGTTTAAAATATAAAACTTGATATCAAAAAAATTGTTAACCAACCTTGGTCCCAACTTCTGAGGTTGAAGTGCAAGTCAACTTTCCCTCAGCTGACACAAACAAAGCTATACTTAAACGCAAGTAAATTTTTAATCTTAACTGACTGCGTAAAATAAACTTTAAATCTGATTTTTTTTCCAAATTTTATAATAGCATACTTTTTAAAATTAGTAATATGCAGCAAAAATATGAACCACATTTCATTTTAATTATCAGAAAATTCATGTAATTCTATATGGATATAGGAAATAGGAAAAAAATATACGCGCGTTATACATGTCGCTTCACCCTGAGTATACATCAACTGATTTTGTTGCTGTTGGGTGACTACAGCATATTTATTTCTCAACAAAAGTGAATCTTATATCGGCTGTTATATGAAAAAGACTGGTTGAATGTCAGAGACAGCATAACTGTTAGATAAAAAGTAGCATGAAAAAAAAAAGGAAAAAAGACACGGAAAGTTAAGAGATTTAATTTAATCTAAAAAGAAGAAAAATAGAAAAAAAAAAGAAAAGAAAATAAAACATGAACATGTAATTTTACACATACTGAAAAGTACTGAAAGAGTGCAACCTCCGCCAAGAATAATTAATTATATCTGATAATGACTAGTAATCTTTAATTATAATTAATTAACCACACTGTTGCTATATACTAAGCTCAAAATCGATGGCGGGACGACATAGTTGGAGTCCGTGGCCCGTGTTGGTCCTATCCATCAGCGATGATGCTGAATGCACTGTATATCTGGGAAATGGGCCAAAGAAGAAATGATAATTAATATTTTGGCGATTATGCATTAATTAATTATTTAATTACTTTTTTCAGGATACTGAATAGGTCACAAATGGATCAAGGAAGAAATGACTAGATTTTGGTAATGACCAATAATTTTAAATTTTAATTAATTTTAAGCTCCAAATCGATGTCGAGCCGACAAATATGCTAGCGCTATATGGGAACAATGAAAATACAGTACAAGAGTCTGTATATACTAGTATATAGACTCTCAGGGTGCAAAAGTGTTGCTTAACCGCACGTAAAAAGCCAACAATATTGTATAATATTAATTGTTGATTAACCTGAAAGATAATATGGAGTAAAAAAATTCTTAGTCCATCACCTAAGTTCGTCATATTCTGCAGTAATGTTGTCTTATTTTATTTTTAAATTAAATATGAATTATGAAAATGAAAATTCATTTTGCATCTTTACGCGCGCCTTATGCAACCTTAGGGTCAATCAAAATAGTAAACATGTCGGAGCACAAGAAGGACTTTGACTTAGAAGTTGTACTGGAAGCCCTCAAATCTTGTAAACAGGACGATGACACAATATCTCTTAAGTCATACCTTACAGCATACCACGAGCTCTGCAGGTAGGTCTTAAAGTTAAAAGAAGTTAAATTTTTGTGACAGATTTATGTCACCGGTAGTATGACTTTCCGCCTGCGCGTTCTGGTGTTAGTGTCACGTTGACACATCACAAATCACGGGACGGCTAATTAAACCGCAACAAAACGTAAATAATTAACACAAAAGGCGAATAAACATGCGATTAGTAGATGAAACTGATCTAATCGGTTAAATATATTTTAAACGAATTTAAACAGGAAATTTATAAAGTTTATTGATCTCGACCTTAAAGGGATAATAACTCTTCGTATGAGGTCTATTTTTCACAATAAAAACATTGTGAATAATTCACAGAAATATAATATATTCTGTGTTTTGACAAAAACAGCAGTTATAGCTATTATTCTGATATCTGAGCTTGTCTTCAGACCATGTGACCTCCATTGATGGCTATACTCTGTTATAATCTCTTAAGAGATTTTAACAAAAAACCAAACTTTTTAGAAAAAAACCAGGGACTAACTTTGAATGTGAAAATGGATTCATTAACCATTGGTTAGTATGGGAAAATTGTTGTTTACTCCAGGAAAATTCATTTTTTGGCCAAAACGAAGAGTTATTATCCCTTTAACATACAGTTATAATACCCAGGTGCAAACACTGGTTAAATATACAACTCGGGCTACAAACACGTACCACTTGCCGACATTATATGTAGAAGACACATATTTATTTATATTTTATTACTTTCAGGTTTTTCAAGCTGATTGGCAGAATATTTGCATTTGTGGCACATGATCTACAAGACAAGATCGAGATATTAGAGCATCATATGTCTCTGAATCCAGAGCCATACAGTTCTGTACAAACTATGATACAATATGAAGTGGAGAACAACATCACAAAGGTCAAGGTCAGGGGTCAACGACCTTCTGGGTCAAGGACACTGTTGAGGCTTCACAGAGCATTAGAATTCATCATTAAGTTTATGAAACGCCTTGCAGAGTCGGACGAGGATGAGAAAACTTCCCATATAGCCTCCGAGGTTTATAGAGAAACCTTGGCAAATTATCATCCATGGCTGGTCCAAAAGATGGCGGTATTTGTGATGTACACATTGCCGAGTCACAAAGATTTGATCGAAATGATGTGCAAGCATGAGTACAAAGAGGTGTTGAGACTACTTAGCGAAGTCACCGAAGAAGCAGAACCAATATATGACGTAGTGCAAGAAATATTCAAAGAAAATGACCTGCTACAACTGCCATGAAAGCCTATTAGATTAGAAAACATGGATTTTTAAATTATGCTCATGATAGCTGAATATTTTGTGCAGGATTATTGTTTTAGGCTGATAAGTTAACTATAGCAGATTTGTGATAAGCTGTCCAATAATATATATACTGCTAGTATAGTGAAATTGGTGATAAACTTATGAAGCATTTTGTAAGAGTTTTTGATTTTTAACATGGTAACGTTAAATGGACCACTATGTAGATGTTATTTTTTGCTGGAAAAGAAGAAAAACGTGAAAGGACAACAAGCAATGAGTTTTTCCAATGCCATGTACAATTTTCTTAGCGCACAAACCCAAACAGTTCTCTGTGCATTTTGATTTTTAGATTTTTTTAAATTCTATTTCGTATTGCTCCTGTGGCTCAAAAGAGGTTGGGTGATTTATGAGATGGGTATGCACCTGGTTATTCAAAAGAGAAATTGGATGATTTAAGACACCCCCCCCCCCCCCAACACACACACACACACACTATTCACGGCATTGTTCACAGCTAAAGTTTAATTTTTTATGTGGTTGTAGAAATCATGGTTGAATGTTTGTTAATCCAAACAGCTCAAGAATACTAGATTATTAAAAAAGGATAATATAATGTACAGAAAATCTGCATTCAAGACTGAATGCAAAGCCAATTCAAATATATATTTTCTGTAACTTTATTTATACTTCAATCATATTATATTGAAGTTGGTTTGCCTTTTATTAGTATGTTCATGATAATACAAATGTATTTTTTACACACTGTCAGCTAGATTAGTGTATTTTGATAAGATATATAATATGGCCAGTATGTAAGGCCTTAAGAGTGACTGTTTTTAAGTGATGATAATCATTTGGTTGCATTAGATATAAAAAAAATCCAAGTTCCACTTACCCTGAAGTTAGGTTGATCTTCCTTTGTGACCCCTCTGATATTAAGTTGAGCTCCCCAAAGCTAACATGTTACTGCATGTTTCTATCTCTACAAAATTAGTTGAACTAGATGGGTTACGGGTATGGTGGATTGGGAATGCAGGAGAAAAAAAGAGAATAATATGCCATCAGCCATGATCTTTACTTATTATAATCAATAAGCCATAGTGATGTACCCGGATGGATGGACATATCTTTAATGAAGACAAGCCTTAAGATGACATGGTGTCTTATATGACTTTTAAATAGTTTTTGATAACTGCTGATTTTTTTAGACAGAGTTGCTTTAGTAAAAGCCTGTACATGTTCAATACCTTTGAAACTTTTTGAAAAATATCTTCAGAAGTATTATTTCATGTCTTTGGTTTACTTATTTTTGTTTTTCATCCAAGACAAACTGGTGTATTTTAGAAAAATAAAATAGGGGGGAATGGTGAATGTGCTCAGGAATAAAGATTATAATTGGGTTAATTACTACAGTGAATTAAGATCACTGTACGATATGCGCACATGTATATATATCTTTTTGTACCAGGCTGAGGCACACTTTTAATGGCCAGGGATAGCAATATACTAGTATATATATATTTATACACACATTGAATTGTATTTATATAGAGACATTTTTTTAGAGATCAGGTTTAGAGAAGGTACATATAGATCACATTATCTACTCAATTCTCTTAGCACAGCTGTATGTGATGGTATGGGAGGACCCTCCCCCTTCCTCCCCATTTGATAATAATTATATAGTACCCTTAGTTTGGAGATCTCTCATTTTAAGAAACCCATGATGTAGATTCACATGATATTAGCATTCCAATTATGGCTGATGTAAAGTGACTATCAGAGATGTTTTTGATACAAAGTATTTATGTGATAATTAGGTATTATTTAACTGATATGATGGGGTAATTCTTGTTTTTGTTATGCAGATGTTTTGATTTCACTTATTACGTGTATTGTTGAGTAAATTCCCCCTTTAATAAGCATATATGTAAAATGGGCCTTTTATGTTTTATATTTTCCCCTTGAACATACGGTAATGTGCCATGAATTTCGAACAGTAAAAAATAATTAAATTTGGGAAAAGATCGTTCTGGCCGAAATTCATGAAATGGAGATGCTCAGAACTTCCGAAAGTTCGAATTTCATGGAATTCTGTCAATTTTGACCGGAAGTTGTCTGTTCGTCGCTAGGCTTTCTGTTATCTTCTCCCAACGATCTATTTAGAGTTACCATAATTTATGATGTGTGAGTGTCGGTAATTGCGACCAAAGGTATACACGTACTTTCACCCGATCACTGTGTATGGCCCATAGATAGAGCGGTAATGTTGTCTAGGGCCGCAAAACAGTATCGTTATCAGTAGTGTCGTTTTTCAAAAGCGATTCTGGCAGCCAGAAACAAGTGTCGTTTTTCAAAAACGATCCTGGTGCTCAGAACGGGAGTGGACGGAGGGAGAGACGGCCGACGATTAGCGTCTGCCACGGCCAGATAACCTTTACTATGGAAGCTTAGTGTTACCGTTGCTCCTTTCCGTGCACTGAAACCGAGACAACAGCCGATCAGTGTCTATGGCGCACGTGCAGGTAGCCTTCATCTGCGATAAGTGTCTTCCGCGACCAGGTTCGTTGCCTTTACCGTTAAAGTCGGGCGGAGCTTTACGCGCGAATGCGTCCTCATCGCGCCGTTCGCGGGTCGGTGTCTCCCACGCATACGTAGCCTTCCCTGCAGAAGCCGGCCTCNCTCAGGAATAAAGATTATAATTGGGTTTATTACTACAGTGAATTAAGATCACTGCACGATATGCGCACATGTATATATATCTTTTTGTACCAGGCTGAGGCACACTTTTAATGGCCAGGGATAGCAATATACTAGTATATATATATTTATACACACATTGAATTGTATTTATATAGAGACATTTTTTTAGAGATCAGGTTTAGAGAAGGTACATATAGATCACATTATCTGCTCAATTCTCTTAGCACAGCTGTATGTGATGGTATGGGAGGACCCTCCCCCTTCCTCCCCATTTGATAATAATTATATAGTACCCTTAGTTTGGAGATCTCTCATTTTAAGAAACCCATGATGTAGATTCACATGATATTAGCATTCCAATTATGGCTGATGTAAAGTGACTATCAGAGATGTTTTTGATACAAAGTATTTATGTGATAATTAGGTATTATTTAACTGATATGATGGGGTAATTCTTGTTTTTGTTATGCAGATGTTTTGATTTCACTTATTACGTGTATTGTTGAGTAAATTCCCCCTTTAATAAGCATATATGTAAAATGGGCCTTTTATGTTTTATATTTTCCCCTTGAACATAGATATTATCAGTCTGTCAGTTTTAATAGAAAAAGACTTAGACACTGATACTCTACTGTACATTAATATTGTGGTTTTTATTATGTCTTGACAATCTGCTGATTTTTTCCCAGGAAGTGCAATTTACATATATGATGATGCATGTTATTATCAAATTTTATTTTGATAATTTTTTTTCCCTTTTCTTTAGTTATAGGAATATTAAATGATACTTAGAACATCTTTTTCACAATACTGTATAAAATGAATTAAGGGGAGTAAAAACACATTCAGACAACATCACTTTTTTTGTGTTCTTTCACTATTTGAAATTGAAAAATTATTGCTTTTGTACAGTAGATGCATGTTGAATAAACAACACTACTTTATCAAGCTGCTTGGAGTTAAAATATTCACATAAATCTCTTGATCTAGATGATCTAGAAAAAGTTTTAAAATGTAGTCTTTTGTGGCATTCAACTCCCAGCCCCTATGCAAATAGCTTTTTGAATAACTAAAATTAAGTAATTCTTATTATTGTTAAATTTTATGAAAACAAAATTGTTGCAGTTTTAATTCTTTTTTTCTATTTCAAAAACAAAAAGGGGTGCCACTTGGGGCGTATAATGTGACCATAAACGGGAAATTATTACACACAGAATGGTGAAATATTGCTTCTACTTCAGCTTTAAAAATCATTCGTACAACAACCACATGTGTTCACAAGTTCAGAAAGGGTCACAGGATGGTTTACTCCTCAAAAAGATACCCTGCCACCGGTGACATCTAGCGGTGATGATGTGTCCATTTCTGGGTCACATAGTGGCTGACCTTCAAACCGGAAATGCATCCGCAATGACGTCCCGCTACCAGAAATAAGTACCGATTCAGATGATTGTGATATTATTTAGGACTGAAATATACGCAGAAACTGGAAAGAATACTACAATAAACGCATTTCAAACAAAAATTTATTTCTAAAAACTCCAGAAATACCACGTAGCCGGGGCGTATGTTCGTCGCGCATGAATATTAGCCAACCACTTCCGGCAATCGTCCATCTGGTTTCTTGTGCGGTGAGTACTGTACACGTATTTGAGATTTCGGTGAATTCATTCAGATTTTGATAGTATTCAGACATCTTTTGCACTTTTTCAGACTGGATATCAGCCGAGTTGGAGCCGAAGAGCAAATTGCTTCAAACTTAGGACGGACCTTACCGGAAACAGTACTGTAACTTGTAAGTAATATTGCTTGTAAAATAAATTGCAAACGCTTTCCACGTTCTCGACTAGTGTTTATGAGCTTTGCAATTAATAAAATTTCTTATATTTTTTCCAAAAAAGTTTAAAGATTGAACTTGCCCTTAGAAAGTGTCTGAAGTGGCATATTTCTGATTTCTTGACAAGTTACGTATATATGAAATTCACGGGGATATTTTTGTTTACTTGACCGGTCATGTGCAGTTCGATTGGCCTATAGTCCATGAGCCAAATTGAAAAAAGGCCTTATTTAAGGATTTGGCTGCACCCCCCGTCAGGCAAAGGTTTTATGATTGATTCTTGTAGTTTAGAACCTGAATTTTTCATTTCTGCTTGTTTCCGGCTTGAAAAAGTGTCCGTTTGTACCGGAAACAGGCCAAATCCAAGATGGCCGCCAGTAAATTCATGTGTCAACTGTAAATACAAAAATTAATTTGNACTGGAATTTATAATTTTTAAAAATATTTTTCATTTCATTTGTACATTTCAAGGGACTTCATTACCGGAAGATCGTCAGCGGGAGATCGTGAACGATCTGAGCGAGACAAGAAAGCAATAATGGTTATCTTTATTGCAGCTCTTAATATTGCTCTTTTGTTCTGTTACTGAAGTCTCTACTGTTAACAATGCTATTGTGCGCCTCAGCAAAACTACCGATCGCTATCTCACACCGAATACTGCGGTAAAGAAACAACAGCCCGACAGTACGACTCTTAATAGATTCTCCTGTTATCTGAATGAATAGATATGACGATGTTGTTTAGCGTCCTAAACTAACTGTACTGATCGTTATCTTGCACCTTGGGCCGCACACGTAGTACTCAGGTAAAGGTACGCTACGGCAACATTGCCGACTGTTAGATCTTTATAAGCGCGAGAATAGCCCGGTGGCCGATTTTAAGGTGTACGAAATTCACAAAATCAAGATCGCGCAAAATTGCTTACTGGCCGAAATTCATGGTCCAGAAAAAACTCCAGACGGCCGATTTTAAGATCGTTCGAAATTCAAGAGCCGTTCGAAATTCATGGCACTTTACCGTAGATATTATCAGTCTGTCAGTTTTAATAGAAAAAGACTTAGACACTGATACTCTACTGTACATTTATATTGTGGTTTTTATTATGTCTTGACAATCTGCTGATTTTTTCCCAGGAAGTGCAATTTACATATATGATGATGCATGTTATTATCAAATTTTCTTTTGATAAATTTGTTTTTCTTTTCTTTAGTTATAGGAATATTAAATGATACTTAGAACATCTTTTTCACAATACTGTATAAAATCAGAAAGATAAAGACAGCTTTTGCTCAGAACAAACTGAATTAATTAAGGGGAGTAAAAACACATTCAGACAACATCACTTTTTTTGTGTTCTTTCACTATTTGAAATTGAAAAATTATTGCTTTTGTAGATGCATGTTGAATAAACAACACTACTTTATCAAGCTGCTTGGAGTTAAAATATTCACATAAATCTCTTGATCTAGATGATCTAGAAAAAGTTTTAAAATGTAGTCTTTTGTGGCATTCAACTCCCAGCCCCTATGCAAATAGCTTTTTGAATAACTAAAATAAAGTAATCCTAATTATTGTTAAATTTTATGAAAACAAAATTGTTGCAGTTTTAATTCTTTTTTTCTATTTCAAAAACAAAAAGGGGTGCCACTTGAGGCGTATAATGTGACCATAAACGGATATTATTACACACAGAATGGTGAAATATTGCTTCTACTTCAGCTTTAAAAATCATTCGTACAACTACCACATGTGTTCACAAGTTCAGAAAGGGTCACAGGATGTGTTTACTCCTCAAAAAGATACCCTGCCACCGGTGACATCTAGCGGTGATGATGTGTCCATCTCTGGGTCACATAGTGGCTGACCTTCAAACCGGAAATGCATCCGCAATGACGTCCCGCTACCAGAAATAAGTACCAATTCAGATGATTGTGATATTATTTAGGACTGAAATATACGCAGCAACTGGAAAAAATACTACAATAAACGCATTTCAAACAAAAATTTATTTCTAAAAACTCCAGAAATACCACGTAGCCGGGGCGTATGTTCGTCGCGCATGAATATTAGCCAACCACTTCCGGCAATCGTCCATCTGGTTTCTTGTGCGGTGAGTACTGTACACGTATTTGAGATTTCGGTGAATTCATTTCAGATTTTGATAGTATTCAGACATCTTTTGCACTTTTTCAGACTGGATATCAGCCGAGTTGGAGCCGAAGAGCAAATTGCTTCAAACTTAGGACGGACCTTACCGGAAACAGTACTGTAACTTGTAAGTAATATTTCTTGTAAAATAAATTGCAAACGCTTTCCACGTTCTCGACTAGTGTTTATGAGCTTTGCAATTAATAAAATTTCTTATATTTTTTCCAAAAAAGTTTAAAGATTGAACTTGCCCTTAGAAAGTGTCTGAAGTGGCATATTTCTGATTTCTTGACAAGTTACGTATATATGAAATTCACGTGGATATTTTTGTTTACTTGACCGGTCATGTGCAGTTCGATTGGCCTAGAATTGTTTTTATTATGAAATTTCGCGTGAAAATGATTCATCGCACTGTTGTACTCAATTCAGATGGTCTTACACATATGGGTGTGGTTATTTACTTGGACAAGGGTATTTTATCATGGACTATAAAGAAGGCTTTAAGAAACCATAACCACCTGCTTTTGGTACATTAAAGCCTGGCATTAATCATTATAAAACCACAAAATATGTTTCTGGTGATAGCAATTATCAGTTCTAAAGGTTGATACATCTGTGATTATTTCCTGTTTTAGGTCACTTTCTATCAACTGTCATAATTAATAGACTGGTTGAGTAAATTGGCCTTAAGTAATCGTTCATTTATCTTAAAATCCAAGCAAATTTTTTTTTTTGGTAAACAATAATAAATCAGAAGTTGAAAAACCATACTTTACTTCACTTCCTTTAATCATTAATGTTACTTTTGCAGTGCAAATGAATTTTTTTATTGAAGTATTTTAATTTTTTTTTTTAAATTGAATGTGATTTCCTACATTTTTAAACTGGATTTGAATTTGAAGTAAGCCAGTTCTAGTTGTTCCACTGCACATAAGAAATAAATAAAGGATTAATCGGAGTTTTGATTGATTCAGTTTAAGATTTTTTTGTAATCTTTGTCATGTTGGTCCTTGTCATATCATTACAAAAAAAACATTTAGAGTTTTAAATGTTATCCTGAGAGGAGGGGGTATATCAAAATCAGATAACTCTTATCATGCTATTGCCTGCAGATATATTACAGGTTCTCTTTCATTTGTCTGCATTTGTTATTCGTCAGTCTTCATTTGCCTAGCTATTAAGATAAAGCTCTACATTCAGCTTTTACAAGGTCTTCTTGACTATTTCAAGCCATTGATAAAGAGATAATTTCATTTGAATTGAATAAACACATATAATGAGCTTTGTTTGACTTGCAATAAGGTTAAAGATGGTGACAATTAGGTTAAAGATAGTGGGTCAGATTGATGCTATATATCTCATGCAGTTGATGGGATTTCCTTTGCTGGCTGATAAGTTTAGTTGCAGATAAAACCCCAATCTATGGACCAAAGAACATTCTTTGTTGAAGAGTGTTCCACTGTTCATATGTAGGAAGAAAACTTAAATGTCCCATAATGTCACAGCATCACTATAATAATTAAAAACATATTTTATGAATATTTGTTTGATTATAAATGTATAGTTTTGATAAGCAGGTTTTTAGAAAAGTAGCTGTGATGTTAGTCTGCACATTGATGTTGTCCTGACACAAGTAAAACTGCTAATGTTTACACACATACAGATAGTTATAAAGATAACATAGATAATTGTGTGCTCTTCTAGAACATTTGATATGTGGACAGTGAGGTTGTCCTAGACCCCGTCAGGTTTATAGTTCAGTTCCACTTTGGTTAAATTCCACACTTGTTAGTTAACACAGTCACTGCAAAACTTGTCCAACTTTGGCACAGTGCCAAACAAAAGACTTATCTGATGATTTTGATGACATGTTTGCATTTGTTAGTTAAAAGGGCCAACAGTGATTTATTGCTTCCCAGTCTGATATATACATAATTTTTAATCAGTTTATATGCTTACTCTTTAAGTTTGATTATTATGTTAATTTTGTAGCAGAGGTTCACAATTAATTTTTGGAAAAGGAAAATAAATAAAGTACCATGGATATATTGTATTAATTATGTCTCATATTACTTGGTGGGGGGGGGGGTCTTCAAGGAGAGATCATGAAGCTTGCACTTTGCCTCTTGTTTCTCTTGAATAAACTTTGATAAAATAATAAATTGTCTCAGATTTTTTTTTTGCGGTGCCTGTATAGTGAGAACAGCTCATTCCACTTTTCTGTTTTCTCGTACTATTAGTCAGTGCTGTTCGACTGGACCTGATATACGACTATGAGCTCGGACATGGCGCAGATCTCCGAGGACATTCCTGCACCCGATGCGTCCAGGTCAGAAGAAGGGGACATCCCGAGCTACTATGAGGCCTTCCCGCCCCTCTCAGAGGGGGAGTCCCCACGGGCTGGGGCGTCTGCATCCACACCTGCTGCTGCTCAGTGGGGCCCCACTAATAAGATGATGTTGAGGACTTCTACTACAACCCAGGTAAGAGAAGAATTTTTCTGTTTTGTTAACAGCACAGTAAATAAGCCATGATGTTCTGTTTAATAGCTATATTATTATTGATTTTCTCACTGTGGTTTTATAAAAGTTATATAGATGTTGTGGCTTTTGGGACATATTCTTTAAGAATAAATGAATTTTGCCCCCCCCCAAAAAAAGCAGGTCTGTCATTCAAATAAAGATTAACATTTTAAAATACCCTCATCATTCATGCATTATTCGAAAATAAACCTGATGGAATGAATCTTTTAAAAACGGTCAAAATACTGTTGCTGTTACAATAAAACCATGTATTTTTTGTTGCTGGCAGGTTTTCCGCGTTCCTTTGGAAGAGCGTCGTTTCCAAGAAATCAATGAGCACGGGTTTGGCGAGGCAGGAGAACAGGCCAAGATCTGCAAGGACATCATGCAGAAAACTGGTAGGTTCACAGGCTGGCACTTTTTATACTGTAGAATAAATGAATACTGAAAGCAATATATATGATAGCTTGTAATTAGGTTGAAATAAGGAGAAACACTCATTTCAGTTGTACATTTTTAGTAGCCTAAATAGTAAGTCTTTTGGTCTTGTATTATCAATGAAGAGAGTTTATTAATTGGTTTAAATAAATCTCTGTTAACAAGGTGTTGCCATAGAGATGAGCCTTGCCAAAGATCAGAGCCTCACTGTGGTTATTACGGGGAAGATAGAGAATGTGATGAAAGCGAGGCGCATGGTGGTCAACCAACTGCAAACCCAGGTCAGTTGTGATGGTTTGTCACAGAAGTGGGAAAAAAGAAAGATGTTTTTAATTTTTTGTATGATAAATGATCCTACCATGTGATGAACAAACAAAAATCCTTTCCTCTGGATTAAGGATGAAGATGCAGTATTTATCTGAAAGTCAATTTTTAAAAAATCTACCAAGTTAGTGCCAACTGACTACATCTTTTATTTTAAGAATGTTTTCCACTTCAAACTCACAAAAAAACGGCAAATTATTATATTTTGTATTTGTTTTTATACTTTGTTATGTATATATTTAAATATTGTTAAATTCAGTATTTGGGTGTATACCTAACACTGCCTTTTATTCTGGTTTCTAGGCCAACGTTACCATGAAGATCCCCCGAGAGCACCATCGTTTTATTCTGGGCAAAAGCGGCAAGAAGCTTCAGGAGCTGGAGCTGAACACCACCACCAAGATCACCATTCCGCGTCCGGAGGAGAACTCCGACGTCATCCGTATCGTGGGCACCAAGGAAGGAATAGATAAAGCCAGACATGAGCTACAGTTGATAACTGATGAACAGGTGAGTGAGTTAACAATGCAGTTGTGATAGACTGACTTAGTGCAGTGATAATTCAATGGCTGAGGTTTATGGATCTGAGTTGGGTAGTCACAACTTACACATAAATGTGCCCTCAGTGCATTGTCTGCTGGCCTCTATTGTGTGTCATCAATGAAAATGTAAAATGATTATTTTCGTGCTTCTGAAGGAGTGTGCATTTATGTATGTGCAACATGTTATTGAAATTTTTATTAAATTTTAGAACATACTGGTTAATCTTATTTGACTGATATTAACTGACTTCTTAGATTAATAGACCAGTCAGATTGGATGTCTGTGACTATACAAATACTTGTATGTATGGCACACTTGTATTAAATAATAATGTATTTGTTTTAAATTTTTCTCCTTGCCAGGCCAAATTGGCATTTGAGCGTCTCCCCATTGCTAAGATTTACCATCCATTCATCTGTGGACCAAACAACGCTCTGATGAAGGAGCTTCAAGACAAGACGGGAGCCCGCATACATGTGCCGCCACCTAGTGTTATGAAGGATGAGATTGTTGTGTCTGGAGAGAAGGAAGGTGTCCATGAGGCCAAGGCTACTATCATGAAGATTTACGAGGAAAAGGTGTGTTTTTTGAAACATAACATGTGATGACATATTGGTTGATTTTGTTTGCTTAAAGTAGGTATGTTTGATGCTTTGAATATTGTGGAAAAGGACAAATGTTGCCATTATATGGTTGCTGCACAGTGCAACAATTATTTGCAATTTAAGGAGATAACACCTAATTTTTGAAGTGGTTTTTGTATTGCTGTCCAAATATTAAATATAGTAAGAAATATGAAAAAGACAGATGTTAACAAATTGTTTTGATTCTGTCATAAATTGTTTAACCTTCAGGGCTCGACATTAGCGCCTGTCCGCCTGTCCGGGACAGGTAAAAATTCAGTTCGGACAGGTGAAGTTGCAGGGTTGGCTGTCCGACGGACAGGTCATGTTTTATGAGAAATGTGGAGCAAAATTTAAAAAAATCATTTTTATTTGTTGCATACGAACGTCTTTTTGCCTCTTCTTAGACGGCATTGAAAAGTGTGACCTACTTTTGGCACAAAACACATGCAGTCGCAAAACGAAGTCTGAGCAAACTTACCGCCAAATTATGAAAGTGAACACCCTCCAGAAGTTCATCAGACAAAATTTATTCACATATCAGGTTCACTACTGAACATTTATTTAGTTAAAAATCCTACGTGCTCTAGTAATAAAGACCCTTCCAAAAACAAACTTTACACAAGTACTGTGCTGCCTGGTTACAAAGCCAGATTGGACTGGATGAACTGGCTATATCTAGTTCGTTGTCAAGGCAACATACTGCCTGTCAATCACATACGTATGCTATCTACTCACTATAGAAAGTGAAATCTTTGGGACTGAAGATCTTGTTGAAATGTTGTTTATTTGCCAAGATATAACCAGAAATTTTGTATGATGTTTTCTTTAATGACTCTAGCATCACCTCTGTTATTTACAGCTTAAAATTTAGTGCTGGAATATGATAAATTAACATTGCTCTCATATACCAGTGTGATATTGATGTAAGGAAGAAATTAGTAATAACAAATATGAGAATTTAAATAAAAAGAAGGGGAACTTTTTTATACTGATTTTATTTAATTCATATATTTTTTAAAAATCAAACACGTGATAACCCCTTAAGAAGTTAAATTGTTAACATAAATATAAGTAAAGTATTATAAAATGAATATTCTTTAATTTTCATTGAACTTTATTCAAATATTTTAAATATTNTTTTCAAAGTGTGAACTTGAACTCCCATGGGCCTGAAGCCTTATGCTTGTTACAAGTTTTACTTACATTGGTATTACCTGTTGAGCATAATTAAAATTTGATGTTGAATTTGCAGTTTAACATAATGTACTTTTGCATCAGAATTGACAGTAGCCTATTTTGTGCATAGTTATTTCCTGCTTTTTGTCTGTACATTTGACAGCTTTGCTGCCTTGTTTTTTTTTTTAGCTTTGGTTAAACTTTATGTGAATCTGTTATCAAATTGCAGACTTACAATTAGTAAACCCTGTACCCCAATTCCTAGGAGAAGCCCTGATTGGAACTAAATAAATATTAGACTTATATGCAAGTTTAAAATCTTCGGGAATTCACAAGTATGAAAAAACAACTTTTTATCTGAACATAAGTTCATGTTAAGGTGCATTTTTGGGGCTCATATGATTGAATGTTTTGGTAATAAATACATTTAATGTATGACACATATTGATTGACAAAGTTTAAAGGTACGAATAGAAAAAAAATTATTGGTTTTGTGGACAGGTTGGATTGAAAATCGGACAGGTCAAATTTATGAGCACCTGTCCGAAGGACAGGTGCTCATAAAAGTTAGTGTCTAGCCCTGACCTTGGATATGGCGTTGACACCAAGGAAATCTATATTATTTTATAATGGTATGTTTCCTTCTCCAGAAACGCAAGTGTCAGACTGTATCTGTTGAGGTGAGGAAATCTCAGCACAAGTATGTGATTGGACCTCGCGCTGGGGCGCTGAACGAAATCCTCCAGGCCACAGGGGTGTCTGTGGAGGTCCCCCCACTGGACAGTCCATCTGAGACCATCACGCTGAGGGGTGAGCAGGACAAACTGGGACCTGCACTGACCATGGTGTATTCTAAGGTAAGTGGAGAGAGAGAGGGAGGGAGAGAGAAGGGGGGGGGGGGAGGAGCGAGGGAGACCATGGTGTATTCTAAGGTTGGTGTGTGGGTCTGTTATGACTGACGGAATGTCTTTTCATCTTTCTGATATGAAGTTATGTACATTTTAACTGTGTAATGCAGCATTTTCCATTTCTATTTATTTTTTCAGGCTAACTCTGTGGTAATAGCTGAAGTTGTGGCCCCAGCATGGCTGCATCGGTTCATCATTGGCCGTCAAGGTGCCACCATCCGCAAGATAACACAAGACTTGCCAAAAGTAAGTTAATATACTACCCTTACTCCATAGTTGTTTTAAGGTTCAGTGTAATAATTTTGAATATTTATTCATCGTTATTATTTCACTTATTGTAAGTATTCTTGAAATTTATATATATATTTATTTATCGAGCTGATCAAATGCTGGCATAGCTACTAATAATTAATAATCCTCATCTAAGTTATGTTGATAATGCAACTTCAGGTCCAAATGAAGTGAATTGAGTCATATTGATTATACCTCTTCAGGTCCACATAGAGTTCACAGAGGGCCAGGACAAGATAGTAATTGAGGGTCCCCCAGACGAGGTGGAGCAGGCCCAGAAGGCCCTGGGGGAGATCACCCAGGACCTGCAGACCAGAATGGCCTACGCTGAACTGGATGTGAACCAGAAGTATCACAAGCATATCATCGGAAAGAATGGTGCTAACAGTGAGTAGGAGTTGGTATCGCGTTTTCAGTCGAGCTGGGTCCACTTGTTTCAGTCAGTAGACCTATCTCGGTTGTTGTCAAAATTTACAGGTTTCCATTTGAGTTGGGTAGACCTATTACTCAGTCATTATCAAAATTGGGTTGATTTTGGTCAAGTTGGGTTGACCTGTATCAGTGTTTATTAATATTTGTATGTTTCAAGTTAAGTTGGGTTAACCTAATTCAGTCATAATCAACATTGACATGTTTCTAGTTAAGTTTGGTAAACCTGTTTCTCATTCATTATTAAAAATAAGGATCCTTTCAGTCAAATTGGGTAGACCTCTCTAGTTGTATTTGTAACAATTGTTGTGTCTTTTTTTCAGTTACAAGAATCAAAAATGACACTGGTGTTGCAATCCGTATTCCCTCTGACAGCGAGGGTAGCCGTATCATCCGCATTGAGGGCGATCCCAAGGGAGTGGAGAAGGCCAAGGCAGAGCTTATGGAGATGGTGGAGAAAATGGTACGTATCTGATGAATTATGGTGAAAAATACAAGTAGTTTACTATTATTGGCATCTTATAATGGTGAAAAGACCTTTTAGAATACTATTAAAATTGACATCTTAAGAGTAAAAGCACCACAGAATCATTATCTTTCAAGTGTATAAAAATAGCTTTTTTGTGTTGTATTTTAGGAAAATGAGCGTAGCAAGGACATCATGATAGAGCAGCGTTTCCACAGGACCATCATCGGGGCCAAGGGCGACAAGATTAAAGAGGTGCGGGACAAGTTCAACCAGGTACAGATCACTTTCCCTGACCCAGGCAAGAAGAGCAACATTGTCACCCTGCGTGGACCCAAGAACGACGTGGAGAAATGCTACAAGTACCTGCAGCAGATGCACCAGGAACTGGTGAGTGTTGTTACAAGTGGGACAACTAGGAGACAGTGAAGTTTGAGAGTGCTTATCTACTGCAGAGAAAAGGGGACCAGGATTTGGTTAAAATGATTCTACTGAGAATTACAAAAAAAAAAAAAAAAGATGTTTGAAGTGCTTTCTTTTTTGTCTGGTCCACTTTAAAATTTAGGCACAAGCCAACACTGAGGCAACTGTAACTAATTATGTGGATCTAATAATGTTAAGACTAATGGTGATAATAGTACTCAACATTTTGTTGTCTAGATTGCTGTGAACTACCAAGCTGAGGTGCACATCTTCAAGCAGTTCCACAAGAACATCATTGGCAAAGGTGGCGCCACCATCAAGAAGATCCGTGAGGAGACCGATACTCGTATTGACTTGCCCAGTGAGGCTAGCGACTCTGATGTCATTGTCATTACAGGCAAGAGGCAGAATGTGGAGACGGCCAAGGCCAAGATTGAGGCTATTCAGAAAGAATTGGTGAGTTTACGGACTTAAGGTATTCCAGAGAGATATTCAATAGGTGTTGAGTTGCTCTTCTCAGGAGTTAAAAGAAAATGAAACTTCCAGCTGGCACATTTAATCCCTCTCTCCTATTCTCATTGTGGTCAGTCACAGAAAAAGAGGAAAGTATAGATTTCCTATTAATTTTCTTATTTTAAGAAGTAGGTTTATGAAATATGTTTACAGAAAAAGTTGAATGTCAATATTTGCAGGCCAACATAAAAGAAATCACCATAGAAATTCCTCACAAGCACCACAACTCCATCATTGGTGCCAAGGGACGTCTCATCCGCTCCATCATGGAGGACTGCGGTGGCGTCATAGTGCGCTTCCCACCAGAGGGTGGTAAAAGCGACAAGGTTGTCCTGCGTGGTCCAAAAGACGATGTTGAGAAGGCGAAGAAGGAACTCCTGGCCCTGGCTGACGAGAGGCAAACTCACGGCTTCACTGCAGAAATCAAAGCTAAACCTGATTTCCACAAATTCTTGATTGGACGTAATGGGGCCAACATCAGAAAGGCAAGTGATGTGATCATAAAGCTTTATTTTTACAGATTCTTCAGTGTGCTGTACATTAATGTGGTTGGATTTAAGACGGTAAATAATACTACTGCCAAAAAAGTTTTGTTATTATTGTTATTGTACATATATCAAGGTGTGTTACCCCATTGTGTGGGGATGAAAGAATCTTGCTAAATCTATCATAGACATAATTGTAATTATATTATTTTATTATAATTGTACCACAAGTGTGGCGCTGGTGTTACACATGGTTTTAGTCCCAACCCGTCTCCTTGATACTGATTTTATTATTTTTATAACCAGGTACGTGAAAGCACAGGTGCGCGTGTCATCTTCCCGACCTCCAAGGATGCAGACCAGGAGACCATCAGTATCATCGGGACCGAGGAGAGCGTGAGCACCGCCAAGACTGAACTGGAGGCCATGATCAAGGAACTGGTACGATGATGATTACTCAGGAGCCCTGTTTCACAAAATAACTTTACTGACCTTGCAAAATCTGCACCAATTTCTTTTCTGAGTTGTTTGATTGGTGAAAAGGATATAAGACTGCTTGCCTTGTTCCTTCATCACAGACATGTTTGTCTTTGACATATATAATGTTGGAAATTGATGCACCTCGAAATTTTCTTGGGTCTGCAGTGAAATTCCATTTATATTATTGTTTACATATTTATGTACTTTTTATTCTCTGCTTTGCAGGAAAATGTTGTTGAGGGTGAAATCAGCGTAGACCCCAAGTACCACCGCCATTTTGTTGCCCGCCGTGGCGAGGTGCTGCACACCATAGCTGCTGATTACGGAGGTGTCTCAGTCAGCTTCCCACGCAGTGGCATGAAGAGCGACAAGGTGGTCCTGAAAGGGGCAAAGGATTGTATAGAAGGTGCCAAGAAGAGAATTGCTGAGATTGTGGCTGAACTGGTAGGGTATTGTTTTGACCGTTGCCCCCTTTTCAGACCTTATTCAGTTTCATTTTTGAACTGTCCTTAAGGGGGGTGCTTAGATAAACTTCAAATTCATGAAAATTTAGAAAAATGCACATTTATGTCTCTTTTAGAATGAAATCAGTTTTGATAGTATCCCATTCACAGTTATTGTAGTATCCAACTTTTAGCTTTTAAAGTAATAGATAAATATTATTTTATTTTATTGAAACCGGTGATGTCAATATCTATCTTTCTATATACATTTATATATGTCAATATTTCCTACCCCAGGAGTCCCAGGTGACTATAGAATGTGTGATCCCCCAGCAGTACCACAGGACAGTGATGGGCACCAAGGGGTCCAGGGTGCAGGAAGTCACCAAAGACCACAATGTCGGCATCAAGTTCCCTGACAGGCCTCAGGCCAACGGAGCTGGGGATGGAAAGGGTAAGTGATAGGTAATAGATGGGAAAAGCGACTGAAAGTTAGGTGTGTTCTATTTGTTGTAGTTTTAAAACAATAGAAGGTAAAAAATGTTTGAAACTGGAGTTGAAATTTGGGCTGTATTATAACCACATTTACTTGACTGTCTTCAGGAAATGCTAAGCCGCAGGTGAACGGAGACGTTGATGTGAATGGTGACACACATGTAGATGGTGCTGGTGATGCTGAGCATGATCAAGACAAGCCCAAGAAGCAAGATATTATCTTGATCACAGGGAAGAAGGAAGACTGCGAGGCTGCAAAGGAAGCTTTGATGGTAAGAGAGAGTGATTGATTTGGTATTTCTGTAAGTTTTGATAAATAGGAATATTTGAATTCAGAAATTATCTTAATTACAGAAAATTTTAAGGCAAGTGTGCGGAGCGCTTCTCATTTAGGTCATGCATATTTGAGAAGGGCATATTTAGTATGCATCGTAACAGAGCGTCAAGTTAAAATTATTGTATATATTGGAAAAGAGAAAGATAAGTTTTCATTGTAATATTGTATTTAAAAGACAAAATCTTGTAGTGGTTTGCTCTAGTTTGAAAGGAAATGGATGGCATTAAGTGAGTTACGTTTTATTAAAAATACTTTGTATTCACAGGCACTTGTTCCTATCACAGAAGAAGTGAACGTCCCATTTGACTTCCATCGTTTCATCATTGGCCAACGCGGCCGCGACGTTCGAAAGATGATGGAGGAGTTTGATGTGAACATTTCCATCCCGCCCGCTGATAACAGGAGTGACATCGTCAAGGTTACGGGGCCCCGCGCCAACGTTGCCAGGGCAGTTGAGGGGCTGAATGCAAGAGTGGAGGAACTGGAGAAGGAGAAAGAGGACAGGGTCAGTGGTTGAAGAATGTGTTGTGATTTTTTAAAAAATCTTAAAAAAAACATTTTTTCTGATGCTTTGTCATGTGGCATGTTGTGTGATACCGGGGAGGAGTGGAAATAACATGATATTCAGGAAAAATTCTGTGTGAGAAGGAAAAACTGAGATTTTAATCTTTTTGAAAATGTCGTCTCTGAATTGAGTGAGGTTAAAGTTATTTAAAATGGATCAGTATCATATTCATGATTCCAATATTTTGTATTTGTACCTTTTGATAAACTCCCCTGCATTATCAGGAAAGTGATGTGGAAAACTTTCATGTCCATTCTGTGCTTTTGCAGGCTTTAAAGAACTTCTCACTGGAGGTGAGAGTGGACCCTGCCTACCACCCTAAAATCATTGGCCGCAGAGGTGCCGTCATTTCCAAGATTCGTGATGCTTTTGATGTCAACATCCAGTTCCCGGATAAAGGCAGCGAAAACCAGGATGTGATCACCATCACAGGTTATGAGAAGAGCGCCAAAGAGGCCAAGGATGAGATTATGAAGCTTGTTGGTGAACTGGTAAGTTTGAATGTGTTCTCATGTCAAGACTGAATTAGACTTTGGAATGTCATATTCAGAAGTTACTGGCAGTTGGTGTATTGCCTTTCAGAGAGACAACACTGGTATCATATTTACTTTTTAATTAGTTTACTAACCTATTATTGATTAATTAATTAATTTTATTTATTTTTAGGACAACATGATAACTGAGGAAGTCAACCTGGATCATCGCGTGCATTCTCGTATCATAGGACAGAAGGGACGTCAGGTCCGCAAGATCATGGATGACTACAAGGTGAGAGAACGGAGGAGATAGGGCAGTTCACCTTTGTTCAGTGTTTTTTGATATAGGCAGCTGGGTTTGTTCTGTCAGTATTTCAGTATAAACATCAGAGAAGTCAGTTTCTCTCGACATGGGTTTTTGTTCAAATCTTTGGATAACGTTGTGGGGATATGAAAGTTTTGAAACAGTTGCACAGTTTTGAAAATTTCTTAGACTCTTACTCACTTACATTGGCAGCCATTTTGAAATCTTTCAATGACCCATCAGTAGATTTCCAAAATGACAACCAGAGGGTACTAGCTACGTCAGATTGGTTTGAAAGATAAAGGTTCTAGCTCCTCGCAGAAAGGACTTGTCTTTTAGTCATGATTTGTTTACATGACTATAGTGATAACAACAATGTTATTGTCATTGTTGTAGGTTGACATCAAGTTCCCGCGCTCCAGTGACAATGACAACCCAGACCTGGTGGTGATCACAGGCATGGAGGACAATGTTCTGGATGCCAAGGACTACCTGCAGAACCTGGAGGAGGAATATGTAAGTCTGCCATGTGGATGGGCACATTTTGTTTACTATAAGTAAATAACACACTATCAGTAGGCAACAGTTGTCAGGTTTGGAGCAATGCCGTGATGAGGTCAGAAATTTCTGAATTACTGAATGAGATATTAAAATTTCACTACGTACTAAAAACTAAGAAATTCATGTTCTACAGACAAATTTCTCTCTCTCTCTCACACACACACACACACACACACACTTAGTCTCTTCCTCTTCCAACCAAATTCACACGCTGTCCTCTGATTTCAGCTTCAGGATGTCCTAGACAGGGAATCTATGCGCCAGTACATGCACCCCAGCAAACAAGAGCAGTCCCATCCCAAGCAGAACCACGGCCCGGGATTCCAGGTACGGGACGCACCTTGGGACAAACAGGCGCCAAACATGGAGAGCACTGAGGATTTCCCCTCCTTCGCGTCTGGCGGCGGGGGTGTTGCCGCAGGTGGCGGGGCTCCTTCCTGGGGCCCAGGAAGCAGGCGGTTTTAAAAAGAAAAAAATTGCTGGTTAAAAAAGCTTCGGAGATGTGTGTGTCATGATAACTGGTCTGTGCCATTCTGCAGGTTTTGCTGTTTATGCTGGCATCATGGGACTCTGGGAGGCTGTTCAGTAGTCCTCGTTCTCTAGCATTGCATGTTTGTAGAATGGTACCAGACTTTGTGTAACTTTTGAACTTTTACAAGCAGGGTATATTATTATTATTATTACCATGATAGTTTTTGACTGACCAGATGTGGTGCAGGTCATAAGGAGGTGGATATTTTATTAAAGAATTTCCCTGCATTTGCCTTATTTAATCAACCAAAAAAATTGCAACATTTGAAAAAAAAATATATAGAAACATATCCACGAGATTGACGTCTGATGTTCTGTATAGAATAACAGGGAGGGGGGAAAGGTGTGTGATGACAATATTTGTTTTTTTAGTTAATTATTTATTTCACATATATTGGGAGATAGTGTTTTGTCATAAAGATTGGTGCAAAGATAAAGGGAGGACTGAGCTTCAAGTCTGACATTTTGCACATTGATTATTATCAGACATTTTCCTACCAGAAAGGACTTTCTTTCCACACAATCTACCAATCTTTTGAAGAAAATTCAAAACACTGCAAAAGAGAGGGGGGGGGGTATTCAACATGGAAATTTTGCGCATTTAGGTGCTCGGGCAAGCTAGTTAGTCAGCTGAAGCCAGTGATATATTGTCTATTGGCTGGACTGCTTTGTGGATCAATGTATTGAAATCATCGTATTTAAGATGTCATTTTGAAATATTTAAAACTGCTGGTTATATCTACTTGCTTAAGTTGACAACTAGTAATCATATTATGCAGTGCTTAAACTCTTCTCCCTCAAATTGCCAAGCCCAATATAAACACATATGCTGCCATATTATAATTTATGCAAGTGAAGAGTTTCTTTACATGTCAGTTTAAATGTTGGTAAACATAGTTGTAGTCAAAACAGGTACCTTGCCAGCCTGATTGCTTATAAGTGGTTGTTATTTTATTTTTTTTGTCAGTTGAATTTGTTGGTTGTTACCTTTCAGGTTGGCATGCCAAGTATTCCTAGTCAAGTGAATTACAAGTACATTGTAAAGTGCAAATGCAGATAAGCCCCAATACACTACTAGTGTCTGTTTTTATCTTTAATTTCATTTTTGCCTAGAAAAGAAATTTAAAGAAGACTGCTATTTGTATATGTAGACAAACATTTAGTATGTATCTGAAAAGAGGCTTTACTATTTTTTGCTTGCATGGCTCACTAAGTGGTTTTGTCATGGCAGGTGCTGCCATCTATTCATAAGTAGGAGGGCTTGTCATAAAAAGTGCTGCCACCTGTTCATAATTTTTTTAAAATTACTTTTTTTGTGTTGCATGCTGCCACCAGTCATTATGCAAGTTTGCACAGGAAATATTCTGTCCTTAAAAGGCAGCTGCTGACAAGTCAATAAGACTTGTTCACAAATATACACACACACATATATATATATATATAATAATTTTAAGAATTTATGAATGCTTGCACAAACAAGACTGGGCACTTTTCAGATCCATTCCATTTTCAATTCAATATAATCTTAAGGTCTTGAGTGACTGAGAATGTATTATGCTTTACCCAGAAATGGCCAGCAAACCAAAATACTTGTATCTGTTGTACAGAGGTGAGAACTCTCGTGGTGTCACTCAAAATTAGAATAATTGTTTATTGACATTTTGTGTGATAGGACGGGGCGTTCTTCGCCACCACAAGTAGAAATAGTGGGGCTGAGGATGCAATACCTGTTTATAATCATCATCTTTATTATTATTATTATTGATAATTAATTAAACAAGTGGAGTGGTAGTTCACTTGTCACGCTCTTTACTTCTAGTTATTCATCTGCTGTGAAGACTGAAAAATAGTTTCTTCCTGCTGATGTCTTTGTGTTCTTCAACGTACAGTCCACAGTAGATGTGTAAAAAGAAGCAGAGGGCGTTTCATTTCATCCACTGGAAACTGTTGTTACGTAGTTTATGAATTTAGAAATGTTTCGAAGGTGGAGGAAATTTTGAATTCCCATGACGTTATCTTTAGTAGTATTTTCTTGAAAAAAATTTTTAAAAAGGATCGAAGAATTTTTGTTGATCAAAGTGTTGACTTTGACTTGGAGGTGATTTTCTTTGATGAGATGTTACATTGTAAAATGTGATTCAAATCACTTTCATGTTGACTTGTAGTTTTGAATCTTTGAGATTGATGATATATATGAAAATAAATCAATCTGAATAAAACCTGGTGTTTTTATATTTATTTATTTATTTCACTCCTTGGGTTTGAAGTCTGCATGAAAGTTGTGTATTGAAAGTGGGTTTATTTTAAATGTTAAAAACCATAGTGATTAGACACAAGTAAAACAAAAAACATACACTGTGACAATTCTTACTTAAGGCCTTTTTCACACTGTGCAGTGTACTTCTCAGTGTTGCACTGCTTTGACTACTTCTATCATGTAATTGCACTACAGGGGTTTTGCCAATGTTCACAAGTTCACTTCCATCTGTTTGGCTCTATCCAAAGTAAACTAGGGCTCCGTAACTCGAAAGCATTGCAAATTGCAACCGAGCGCAAGCGCCTCTATTCCATAACTTGGGATTTACTGGCCCCATGTAATAGCCTCGAAATAAAAGGTGATATCGCTATTAGCAATTCACAATGCTTTTGAATTAGGGAGCCAGTTAACTGATTGTATCAAGCAAAAGCACTCTGTTTAGAGGAATCACATACATGACACCCAGGCTATAATGCTGTCCATCTCATAATGGTGCTGTACATTCATGTTAGCTGCATAATGGAAAAAGGGCTGATTAAAGGGATAATAACTCTTCGTTTCGGCCAAAAAATGAATTTTCCTGGAGTAAACAACAATTTTCCCATACTTACCAATGGTTAATGAATCCATTTTCACATTCAAAGTTAGTCCATGTTTTTTTGCTAAAAAGTTTGGTTTTTTTGTTAAAATCTCTTAAGAGATTTTAACAAAGTATAGCCATCAATGGAGATCACGTGGTCTAAAGAAAAGCTCAGATATCAGAAAAAATAGCTATAACTGCCGTTTTTGTGGTAAAACAGAATATATTATATTCCTATGAGTTATTCACAATGTTTTATTGTGAAATATAGATCTCATACGAAGAGTTATTATCCCTTTAGGTTTGTAATATTTTGTGATTCATAATCAGGTTGGCTAGTCATATCAACCTTGAAATCTTGGTAACCCTTTAAAGATAACAACATAAATGTTAAGTAGCCACAGCCACTGTCAGAACACTGATGCTATGTCTTATATAATATTTTTAAATAATTCCAGTTCACAAAATGCAATAAATTAAATCTTTTTTTTTTTTTTTTTTGAAATTGGGACCAGGGGTGATTTCAAGCACAAGAATAATTTTAAAAGACGTCTAACATACGATTACACCTAATACTAGCACTAACATAATGTTCTTCCTGTTTTAAACAATTACAGCGTTTTTGGATGTTTTTTTTTTTTTTTTTTGAGTACTATCTTCACTGTACCACATTCAGGAAATTCAAAAGAAAAGGAAAAAACCTTTTCATTTAAATTACCTAAATTTGCTAAAAAATTAACTCCTAAAGCGAAATACAGAACAGCAATCATACACAGTACAATTTTTTCCTGAAATATTTCTAAAAATTACACATCAATATTGCATACAATCCCTAGGCCTAATTCTGAGTGGCCCCACTGGACTGGGAGAGAGGAGAGCACTCAGACTCTGAGACAAGATCTTTTAGTGACCTTTGTCCCAAGATAATACAGGAGTAGAAACCCATTAAAGGACATATTTAATACTGGTTCTAGTTATTAGTTACTCCATTTCAAGGGACTGCTCTACAGTTTAAAGAAATTGACTGAAATCTTGGTCTGAAACTCAAGATCAATTTTCCAACAACAGTTTCTTTGTTGTTCTACCATTACAGAATCCACCAACATTTGAATTTGTTTGGGTAAAAGTAATAAAAGGTATGGGTGACAAGTTACACTGAAGCATTTAAACAAGATGCCAATGGAATTGAGTTGCACAGTCAGGCCATTTCTCTTTACTCAGAAATACACAAAAAACTGAGAGATAAACCCACAGAAGAATTCTGTCTTATGCTACACCTGGTTCCATTATGTAAGGGATTTCAGGGTTTGAAGTGTCTGCCTTCAACCCCTTCCGTGCCCCTGGGAATCCATGAAAAGAGAACAAAAAGGAAGATGCCTGCTACAGAGATTCTGATATGGATTTAACTACACTTTCTTCCATGACGTTGGTAATTAGTGTCAAAGTCCCATATATAAATGCCCAACGTCTGTAGTGTCCTTGGCCCAGAAAAAGAAAGGAAGATATCAGCTCCAGAAGGATGTTATTACACAAGACACAAGTCCATGAGATGGGAAGTTTCAAGGTTCCATGTCCGGCGGCCAGTTGTCCACCTTGAACCTCTGAAGCGTCCCTTCCACAAACCTGTCCAACCAATTCGGTAGTCCATCGAGAAGATCCTTTTCAAACAGCACTCCGGGGTCTTCAGTCTCATCTGAGACGCTATCCTCCGCGTCACTCTCGGACTCCGAATCGAACCCCATGAACTCCCCATTGCCGCCATTTTGACCATTCATCTTTTCAAATGCTCGCACCGTCCTTGCGTGGTACATGCAGTAATATTTCCTAAAGCCATTGATGGCAAGAACCGTACCAATACAGTTTCGACTGTTCATTTCTAAGCTACGTGCCTGCTGCCCTATGGTTTCCTCTAATATAAGTCTATACCAAGGGAGATATTCCTCCAGCCTCAGGAAAGCAAATACAAAATATTTTGACCTGGAAAAAAGTCAATGCAACTTGATAATTGTTCACATAATAGGCACATAAATGCTTTCAGATTCAATGTTCTATCAAGGCCTTTTCCACTGCCAAGAAAAGAAATAAATTTACTTTGATCCAACACAATTAATGAAACCTTAGGGGAGCATCCTAATGTCTAAATAGTATGTAATATTACCAAATATAAGAAAATCACATCTTTGTATTTTCATAATTTGAAAATACCCAGCTTTACTGGGCTGAGAGGTCACTGGGTTCACTTTAATTCCAAATGCAAGCTGATACTGTTAACTTGTCATGACTCACCGTGTATAGGGCAACACAATATCAGCAAAACGCTGCAATAGTTTCTGCCGGGTATCTTCAGTAAGGAAGAGCACCACTGTGACATGCCCTCTGGGAGAACGCAAGACCAGATCTTGATACGACTCCGCTCTCAGCTCCTTCAAGTACACTGTCACTTCTCTGTGAAAGCAAAATGTGACTATTTATACCAAAAATATATAACTGATATTTTAATTTAAAAATTAGTGGAGTGATCCCTTGAGGAGCGTCACATTTGGTGAACCACAGGTGTGTGCTGCAGCCAAAATCGAGTACATTTCTAAAGATATATCTCTGGATTTGGCTCCTAAGGAGATCATACAACCATTTTTCACTTAATTTGGAGCACATATATATATATATATATATACTGGTAGCTTTATAATTGATTTCATTTGCCACAAATTCAATATAACAAAAAATTGTAATATCACATTCATTGAAATGAAGTATTTCACTGCGGTTGCACACTGACATAAGAATGAGATATGACCCAACAAATTTCTGTTCATACCAAAAATATAACTGATATTTTAATTTAAAAATTAGTCAAGTATTTAATAAATTCACAAGTCCTCAATCAATCAAAGTCCACAAAGTCACGTTTTGAAACTTTCTAAACAGTTATTTCAAGGTAAACAATAAATCTTGTTTGAACAGGTCTTAAAATTGAAAACAGTTGCATTTCTATGTATTATTTAAAAATTTAATAATCAAATCCATGCGATTGATCAATATATATATATGCATTTTATCTGGAAATCAAAAGAAATAAATTAACAGTGGTCAACTCTACCTGGGCTGGTACCCTTCCTGCCCCCACTGCTGCTGCTGTTGATGTTGTTGTTGCCTTTTTGTTTCCTCATCAAACTTTGTCACCAGTCGCGTGAAGAAACTTATTATAATGATGATGATTATCGAGAAGGCCACTGACAGTAAGGTCACAGTGTCATAACTAAAAATAGAATGAAATGAAAAATAGGTCAGAGGTCAAAAACCAAGGGCAAAATCAAAGGTCAAATTCCCACAAAATTTTGAAGCTTTTGTGGGAACTTCACTCATTATTTCTTTTCGTTTAATTTGTGACTTATTATTCCTTCAAACGTTAAGTTAAATGATTTTGGTCTTGCTGCTACACATGTAAAATGCACCAAACTGACACCAAATAGGACAAGATAAAGAAGAGGCTGCACTTGACCAAATGATTTTTACATAACGATCTTTGTTTACTATGACTAGCCTAAGAGCTTTTTAGTTCAAACAAAAAGGTTGACAGAAAATCACATTTTTACAGCTTTATAAATGATAGAAGTACAATGAAATATTGCCTGTTGTTTTATGATCAATATTACAATAAATATTATGGGAATTTAACATGGTTTTGTGGTTATACGTTTGACAGGTGATAAATCAAGTGACATCAGGATTGTTCTCCTGTCACATATTATGATGATGGAGGTGATATACATGAATGACACACAGATGGAATCAGAAAAACATAAATTGTGAATGGTTTGTGACAGTACATGTCCATGTCAGTTTCTAGGCAAGAATATTTTATATAAACAATACTTGATTATTATGCACTGTATTATCACACATCTTGCAAGTCTCTACTTATGTATCTGATCTGAGCTTCTCTCTCTCTCTCTCCCTCTCTCCAGATAAAGTTTAGATCTAAGTTGTACCAACCTCATAATAAAATGGTACACAACATCTGCCCAGTCCAACAACCGCATGTAGATCCGTAGCATCAAACTCTGAAAAGAAATCATAAAATATGTAACTGTTTATTGTTGGGATAAGCATATAGTGTTCTAGCTGTATCAGCATACATGGGTGTTAGATTGTGTAAAATAACACTTTAAATTAGATTAATATTTTAAGATCATCAAAAGATAATAGGGAACATTATGTGTGCTTGAGAACCACTTTCATCCAAACCTGACACTGTCATCCAAGTACGTATTTAACAGCGCAGAAGTGTGCATATATTCCCCTTTCCAAACAAAATGTAAAAAAAAATTTAAACATAAAGTTAAGCACTTAATCTCAATTGAGATGAAAGAAGAGGATTTGGGGTCCATAAATTCTGTAGGAATTTGGTTTATGTTGGCTACAGGCAAAGTATATATATTGAAGAGAACAATGTGATTGTTTAGAAGCCTCAGGCTGCATTCATTCATGGGTATTTTTGAGATAATCTGATACCCAGCCTCCAAAACAAAATTGTAAACACATTTTGCTGATTATCACCACTGCAAGTCCAACCATCCATGAATCATTCTTGTGAAGAAAATTAGAGATAAGTTATGTTAAACCTGGTAAAGCTTTTGCCTTGAGGATAATAGCAATGAAAGCAAGACTTGTTTTTTCTTCAAAAAATAAAAAGAAAAATAATTTTTAAAGTGATAAAATGTTGTCAAATGTGCTCACTTTTATTTTCTTGTCTCCGTGTATAGGGCAATCAAATCAAATTTATCAAATTTATCCTTTTATATAAAATCAATAATTTTTCACTTTTTTCAGTCAAAGAAAGCATGAAAATTTTGAATATCTCCTGTATCATAAACATAAAAGTATGTATCACAGGAAAAAAATCTATATTATGAGAATCTTATAGAGGGATTTGCTTTTCAGTGCTTATCATGAAAAGAGTAGAACATAGCCTACAANTACCAGTATATATATATATATATATATATATATATATATATATATATATATATATATATATATATATATATATATATATACTGGTAGCTTTATAATTGATTTCATTTGCCACAAATTCAATATAACAAGAAATTGTAATATCACATTCATTGAAATGAAGTATTTCACTGCGGTTGCACACTGACATAAGAATGAGATATGACCCAACAAATTTCTGTTTATACCAAAAATATAACTGATATTTTAATTTAAAAATTAGTCAAGTATTTAATAAATTCACAAGTCCTCAATCAATCAAAGTCCACAAAGTCACGTTTTGAAACTTTCTAAACAGTTATTTCAAGGTAAACAATAAATCTTGTTTGAACAGGTCTTAAAATTGAAAACAGTTGCATTTCTATGTATTATTTAAAAATTTAATTATCAAATCCATGCGATTAATCAATATATATATTCATTTTATCTGGAAATCAAAAGAAATAAATTAACAGTGGTCAACTCTACCTGGGCTGGTACCCTTCCTGCCCCCACTGCTGCTGCTGTTGATGTTGTTGTTGCCTTTTTGTTTCCTCATCAAACTTTGTCACCAGTCGCGTGAAGAAACTGATTATAATGATGATGATTATCGAGAAGGCCACTGACAGTAAGGTCACAGTGTCATAACTAAAAATAGAATGAAATGAAAAATAGGTCAGAGGTCAAAAACCAAGGGCAAAATCAAAGGTCAAATTCCCACAAAATTTTGAAGCTTTTGTGGGAACTTCACTCATTATTTCTTTTCGTTTAATTTGTGACTTATTATTCCTTCAAACGTTAAGTTAAATGATTTTGGTCTTGCTGCTACACATGTAAAATGCACCAAACTGACACCAAATAGGACAAGATAAAGAAGAGGCTGCACTTGACCAAATTATTTTTACATAATCATCATACTATGACTAGCCTAAGGGCTTTTTAGTTCAAACAAAAAGGTTGACAGAAAATCACATTTTTACAGCTTTATAAATGATAGAAGTACAATGAAATATTGCCTGTTGTTTTATGATCAATATTACAATAAATATTATGGGAATTTAACATGGTTTTGTGGTTATACGTTTGACAGGTGATAAATCAAGTGACATCAGGATTGTTCTCCTGTCACATATTATGATGATGGAGGTGATATACATGAATGACACACAGATGGAATCAGAAAAACATAAATTGTGAATGGTTTGTGACAGTACATGTCCATGTCAGTTTCTAGGCAAGAATATTTTATATAAACAATACTTGATTATTAAGCACTGTATTATCACACATCTTGCAAGTCTCTACTTATGTATCTGATCTGAGCTTCTCTCTCTCTCTCCCTCTCTCCAGATAAAGTTTAGATCTCAGTTGTACCAACCTCATAATAAAATGGTACACAACATCTGCCCAGTCCAACAACCGCATGTAGATCCGTAGCATCAAACTCTGAAAAGAAATCATAAAATATGTAACTGTTTATTGTTGGGATAAGCATATAGTGTTCTAGCTGTATCAGCATACATGGGTGTTAGATTGTGTAAAATAACACTTTAAATTAGATTAATATTTTAAGATCATCAAAAGGTAATAGGGAACATTATGTGTGCTTGAGAACCACTTTCATCCAAACCTGACACTGTCATCCAAGTACGTATTTAACAGCGCAGAAGTGTGCATATATTCCCCTTTCCAAACAAAATGTAAAAAAAAATTTAAACATAAAGTTAAGCACTTAATCTCAATTGAGATGAAAGAAGAGGATTTGGGGTCCATAAATTCTGTAGGAATTTGGTATATGTTGGCTACAGGCAAAGTATATATATTGAAGAGAACAATGTGATTGTTTAGAAGCCTCAGGCTGCATTCATTCATGGGTATTTTTGAGATAATCTGATACCCAGCCTCCAAAACAAAATTGTAAACACATTTTGCTGATTATCACCACTGCAAGTCCAACCATCCATGAATCATTCTTGTGAAGAAAATTAGAGATAAGTTATGTTTAACCTGGTAAAGCTTTTGCCTTGAGGATAATAGCAATGAAAGCAAGACTTGTTTTTTCTTCAAAAAATAAAAAGAAAAATCATTTTTAAATTGATAAAATGTTGTCAAATGTGCTCACTTTAGTAAATTATTTTCTTGTCTCATCAAATTTATCCTTTTATATAAAATCAATAATTTTTCACTTTTTTCAGTCAAAGAAAGCATGAAAATTTTGAATATCTCCTGTATCATAAACATAAAAGTATGTATCACAGGAAAAAAATCTATATTATGAGAATCTTATAGAGGGATTTGCTTTTCAGTGCTTATCATGAAAAGAGTAGAACATAGCCTACAACCCCTCCCTTCCCCCCCCCAAAAAAAAAGTTCTTTATATGTAATCAATGAATGTACATGAGAATCTTAATGGAGTATGCTTTTCAGTGCACATTGTCTCAATATCTCAACTAAACATACCATAATATATCCTCTCCTTTCACAACTGTCTTATATTTATGGTCCAAATATGAATCTCTGGATTCAGCAACAGTCTCTGGATTCAACCCAAAATTTCCATGTCATCCACCATCTTGTGATCATGAAGAGTCTAAACAGTCTCTACGTAAGATAAACCACCTTTCTTCCCAAACGGTGACGAATATAGAAATAACTACAGGATGGGTTGGCACGCACGCATGCACGCAAGCTGATTTATGTTAAAAATACCCCGTAGTGGTGAGTAGGAGCAGGGCCATCATACTAATCGTGTTGCTTTAAACTACAGGCAAAACACGGGTTAGTGCCGTCACAGGTCACCCCCTTAGTGCGATTAATGGACATATAATGGCCGCCTGGACAATTAACCCCACGCATACTATTGCTGTGATTCTTATCTTGGTCATTTCCTTTCTCATGAGATGTGTGAAGATAGCACTGAATATGCTGTTCATCTACACCTTGTTTTTTTCTCCCTGTTTAGAGGAATCAAATTTACTAATAAATTTTTTACTATAAATGTGTGTTTACAATATTAACTTGGG